ACTGTCCATACTCATCGCATCAACCTCCTCAGAGGAAGAGCAATGAAGTAATGGAGGGCTCTCTCCCCGGGCGGAAGAAGCCGCAGAGCGGGCTTCCGACACCGGGGGGAGAGCACTGGATCCTCCGGGTAAGGAAGGAGAAAAGGCCCTCGGACCCGTCTCCAACCCCTCCGAAAGATCCTTTTGCGATCTCCAGGAATGCATTCTCCGTGCTGCCTCGGCAGCAGCGGGTCCTGCACCCTGAGGATCGCGAACCTGACCACTCTCGTCAAAGAGTGACAGGCGAGAACGGAGCATGCGAAGCGGAAGCATCTCGCAATGCTGGCACTCAGCCCCCTCGAAGGCTGAGACCGCATGCTCCATTCCCAAACAAATAACACAAAGCTTGTGTGTGTCCCCACCCGTTAAATAACGCGGGCAGGGAGAAGCACACTGCTTGTACCTTTGTTTCGCCATAACTCTTCCAATATAAATGCAACAGACAACAATAAATAGACAGAGACAGAGTAACACAGATCGCTTGCTGAGACACAGAAGCTAATGCCGCGTTTCACCGGATGTGCTCTTATGCCTTCCTGGTCATGACGTCACCCGCCCGTGACGCTCATTCTTTCCATTGGACTAGTTGACATTGATGCTCAGACGCATTCACGCTGGGGGCGTTCCCAAAGCGTCGATGACGCATCGCGAGTTCCCTCGAAAGGGAACGGTATTTAATGCTCTGTATGTGCTGTGTTGTAGAATTGACAATAAAGTTGACAATACTCACTGGTTTGCAGACCTGTGCTTTCATGTTAGGGTTTCCCAGTTCATGAGACAATTGCAGAGGGTTTGAGTTGATGCAAGCTAATTTGAGTGTAAAATTGAAATAATTTTTAAATAACAACAATCTGGTGTCATGTAAACATGTGAACATGTCTGAATATGAACTTGAAATACGTAATTGGTAGAATTATATGGTTTTAGAACTCTATTAGAACTATTGCCTAATCATTGAGAAGGGTCCCACCACCCACAACTATTTTTAACTCTTAAAGGGATAGTTCACCCAAAGATAACAGTTCTGTCATCATTCACTCACCCTCAAGTTGTTCCAACCCTGTATACATTTCTTTGTTCTGCTGAACACAAAGGAAGATATTTTGAAGAATGTTTCTAACCAAACAGTTGTGGGGCACCATAGTCTCCCATAGTATTTATTTAAGTCAATGGTGCCCCCCAACTGTTTGGTTAAAAACATTCTTCAAAATATCTTCCTTTGTGTTCAGCAGGACAAAGAAATGTTTGGAACAACGTGAGGCGGGTGGTTAAATGATGACAGATTTTTAATTTTGGGGTGAATTATCCCTTTAAGTAGCCTAGCCATATTCCGCATAGCCTAATAACGTGAATGAAGCATTATGTCCCATAATAACCAGTTCCTTCATGCAAAGTAGTCCCATCTTAAAATGAAGATTTAGACAAGTAACAAGTTTTTGTAGTAACGCTTTTGAATATTCCATCACATTACATTTTTCTTTCTTCTACACACTGAGGGACGAGTTTAAATTACTATTATTTTCTGTAAATCAACAGATGTAGGCTACATGATGCATAGCTATCCTACCAAAACAACATTAGCGAGATTTCTCCATTACACAATATGTAATTTAACAGTAGCCTACAGCTGTATTTTTCCCACCTGTTGTCGCAGCAATACTACATAAAGTCAGAGCTGGAAGTGGACTCAGCTTTAACATCAGTGTTACTCGCAATCTGTTCCTGTTTTATTCTCATAAAATGGTGGTCACGGGTTAACAGCGAGAATGGAAAGGGAAAAAAAACGAAGAGAAAAAAACCCCCAGCACGAATTATAGAGAGGAAAGAAACAGAGGGGAGTTCATAGGGTCGTATATCATTAAGCAATTGAGAAAGTTAATTAGGCAGCTCTGATAATTATTGCCATGGCAACCTGAGCGCACTCATGCACATTTGATTAATGAGGTGCCATTTATCCGCGCCAGTGAGACAGTACAGTCATAGAGGAGCGCGCGAGACCCCTAGCGGGACACAAATGACACTCTGCCGAAACAATGACAGGGCAGCTGAGACCTTGAACGCGGGAACTAAGAGCGAAATTGTGTGCGAATTTAGCAATAAAAGAAATACGATATCCTTGCATATGAAGAACCTAAATGCTAATTAGAGTGCATAGGAATCTTTTTTTCATTAATTATATTCTTCTTCTTTTTTAATGTGTGTTAATATTAAAGGAAAATTGCAGTTTGAATGAATGGATTTATTTGGTCAAAAACCCGAAAAGATCTTTCCTATTTACAGCTCTTTCTCACATCTTGGCATTGGCTGTATGCATTTGTGTGTTGAATGTGAAGCCCATAGACAGCTTTGTCACACATTACCCTCTAGTGGACAAACTTCATTACTTATCCTCTCTACATTGAAGCTTTTGTGGATTTCAAACAATGGAAAACTGTTCATCACTCATAATTCATAAATGTCATCCCGCAGAGTGTCAAATTACTCAATAATTGCAAAAATTGCCAAGTAGGCTATTTAATACCTGGAAGCTTGTTAAAGTCTGCAATTAAATTCTCTAAGTGATCAGAGGTTTATGATTTTTGATCAGGTGGGAAAAAAATCCCAGATATTTCTACAATCAGATTAGAGATTTCTAATCAGAATATACAGACCCGGTTTGACTTGGGACAGTTTTCTACACCACCCATACCCATGATTGTACAATGTTGGGGAATTTCTTAAAGGTGCTATAGCCTCTAGATTTTCATGTATTAACTGTTTTTTTTTTTTGTTTTTTTTATTGCCAATAAGTGAACAGCTTGTAACGAAAAAAAAAAGAAAAAAAAAAAGACCTTCCTCGACTTCCTAGGTTGTCTATAAATACGTTTTTGCCTAGAAAATCAAAAGTATGTGCATGAGCTCCTGAGAACCTCTTTCATTCACATGAAACACATGCTTATACAATGTTCAGGATAATGCCGAAAGAGCCATTCTGTAACCTACTGTAATGTTGTGTCATGCAAAGAAAGGAATTAATTCAACTATAGCCATATCTATAGATATCAAATATACAGTAACTATCATTTTAATTTCCTAATCTGTCGTCATGACGCCAGTAAACCGCAGAGCTTGTGTAAGCATATCCACATCGCTATCAGATGCTTTCTTGACTGCTGCTTTCTTTTAAAGGAATAATTCACCCAAAAAATGAAATGATGTCATCATTTAGGCTACTCACCCTCAACTTGTTCCAAACCGGTATGCGTTTCTTTCTTCTGCTGAACACAAAAGAAGTAGGCTATATGGGTGAACAAGCAGTTGATGGGCCCCATTGACTTCCAGAAAAAAAATACTATGGAAGTCAATGGGGCCCATCAACTCTTTGGTTACCAACATTCTTCGAAATATCTTCTTTTGTGCTCATGTTTGGATCAACTTGAGGGTGAGTAAATGATGACAGATTTAACATTTTTGGGTGAACTATCCCTTTAACGGCCACGGGGCCGGTTGCATAAACTAGTTTGTCATCAATTGTTTTTTTTTAACGCTGTTCATAACTTTTATTTTCAAGTCAGTTACTTAAAAATGTAGATTGGTCTAATTTGATATCAAAAGGTAAGACTGATTACCCAATGGCTAACTGTTATTTGGTCATACTAGACGACAAGAGTTTCTGAATTCTGCATAGAGGCCCTTGAAGAAGAAAAAACAAAAAACAAAAAAAAACACCTATTATCAATGCACAGCATGCTAAGGGCAAGGAATACTGTTTATTAGACAAACAATCCAACAATAACAGGAATTCCTTTCATCTTTTCATGTTTAGTCTTTTTCATCTGTGCTTTTCACTCAAGTCCATCACATTCAGATATAAAAAATATATATAAAAACGTTAAACAAAACAGTTCACATTACAAGGCAACTCCCAGCGTTTAGACAAAAATCGTTCTGTTCTTTGTCAGTTTGATGTTGAGTTTGTATTTCTCTCTATAAGCCAATGTATACACAGCCTCAGTATTCTGAACCATTTCATAAAAAAATGTTTGTAATACAATCTGCCTCATTATAACAGTGAAATAGATTTAACACTTTGCTCAAACGGACAGACTTAATTCCTAGCTTAACATTTTAATGTAACATTTGGTTTGTACTTCAAATACGTAATATGAAAACGTCTTTTTAATAACAAACTTACATGAAAGTTCAGTAGCAAATTCTGTGGCACGTTTGCGCAGGGAATAAGCTCGGCTTTTTTTTTCTTTTTTTTTTAAAGAAGCAAAATCTATGTATTAAATACATGTTGTCGTTAAAACGCAGTGATACTCATATCTACTGAATCTGGTCCAAGCTTTCCTACTGAAGTCGGTCATCATTTATCTCAGGAAAGCCTGAAACAATCAACCTGTGAGTTTGGAATAAATTAGATTTCTTTAAATGTTTTTGAAAGAAATGTATAATGCTCACACTAAATTTAATTAATCAAATACACTAAACGTAGTTATAATTGTTATAATATTTCACAGTACTGTTACTATTTTCAATGTATTTTTGATCAAATAAATACAGCCTTGGTAAGAGACTTCTTTCAAAAGAAATTAAAAAAACGTAATCGTTCCAAACTTTTTACTGGTTGTGTTGTACATTGACATGTTGGCCAGGTAAACCTCATGAAGCCTTATAAAAAAAAAAAATAAAAAAAAAATAAAAAAAATTTAAGGCTTCCGGGTTATTAGATTTAGCATGAAGTAAATGAAATTAAAACCATTACGATTTTTTGGCATTATAACATTTCATAATTAAACATTTTCTCCAAACATCCTCACAAATGTGTTTATACATCATGGTAGTTTTTGTTGTACTTCCATTTTGATAAATTATATACAATTAAATAATTTCAGACATGATGATTTTAATTAAAATGTTATTCTGAAGAAAATGTCATAATGCAAAAAAAAAAACGGATTTAAGCTTCATTTTTATGCAATACGGAATTTTTTTCCTTCCAATTGTGGGGTGGAATTATAACTAAATATTTCTTTGTGATATCCCCTCTCCCCGACAGATACAATCAGAGTTTATAGTGTCAACTTCAGACGCCACACCACGAGTAACCCTCATAGTACGCTCAACCGCTCACAGGTAGAATTATGTATTTGAAGTATGTATCAGAAATGTTGCAAGTATAAAGTTTGGAACCAATAACTTCAAATGAACTCCAAGATGTAATCTTCGAATCTGTCATATGTTGGTTGTGTTTATCCCGTTGTGTAGCGAAACGGCATGTTAAATCAGCAGGGAGGGGGTGGGCTTTTTGCCAGGCCACGCCTCCTTGGCATATTTTTTCTTGCGAGGCTCGTTGAGTGGCTCGGCCGAATAGGGTCCAGGAGCAGGGGTGGGGTTCAACATAGCGGGAGGCTGCACTGTTGTGGGTGAGAGATCCACCTCTGGCGCGGGGTTGGGGAAGGGCAGAGGCATCCCACCCATGATGGCAGATGCCCCTCCTCCCTGACCTCCGCCCCCTTGTCCGCCTGCCTCGTGACTGGTGGGCGGCAGGTCGCCGTAGAGCCCAGCACTGAGGGGGAAGTTCTGTAACCGACGTGCTACGCTTTCGTCCAATCCCAGCGTGCTGTGGCTTTCCAGTTTCTTTTTCTGTGGTACAGAAAAAAAAAAATTCTTTAAAGGGGTGGTTGATTATGATTTCACTTTTTTAACTTTAGTTAGTGTGTAATGTTGCTGTTTGAGCATAAACAACATCTGCAAAGTTACGGCGCTCAAAGGAAAGGGAGATATTTTCTTTTACAGAAAACGCTTTTTAAGAACTACAACAGACGGCTGGTAGGGACTACACAAGCTTCTTCATTGGTTAGTGACATCACTGTAGACTTGGAATTATTATTTGATTCACGGGGGACCAGACACCAGTTATCTTGCCAAGAAAAATCTTTATTCTTATATGTCAGGAGAGAAACTCTGAGAAGATGTTACACTCATGCCAGGTCTATGCGTTTCCGTGTTTCTCCTTCCTCTCACCCGGTCATGCCTCTATGTTTCTCTGCTGTAGTACAGTAAGATTGGGCTTAAATACACAACTGAGCGACTTTCAACTTCCTTGTAAGGTAGCAAAACAAGTTGCTTATGCTTAAAATGAAATGTATATGCACATGGTACAATCCACTTTCCATATTAAGAAACTATTTCTCAGTGTATACATTAGTGGTATACAAATGGTACATTTGCATCAGTTGAAACATTCATTTTCTTGCAAAGTGCATACCAACTTACACATTTGAAGTATATTCATCATTGGAACTCTCTGCTAAGTGAACATTACATTTTACTCATACCTTCAAGCAAAATACATAATCCTCCCAGCTACCCTCCTTGTGTCTAAAATATGTTCCTTAAACACATCTGTCCATGCAATCTATAGTCTAACTCATGCATTTTAAACTTCATAAGATAATACAACTTATTATGAATACTAAATAAAGAATAATAATACAGATACATAATATTAAATAATGAAATTATATTAAAAGATGAAATTTTAGTCTTCAATCACTAACCCTAAAATTTACATAAACCCCACCCCCGGGAACACGATTTATAGATTATCATGACAGAATATGCTAATCGATGACTAGAAGAAAGTTAACTCCACATTAGGTTTTTTTTTTTTAAAGTTTTATAGGTTGACTATGTAACAACTGTCCAGGGACTACAGATGAAAAATAGTCTCTTGGCTAATTCTGGTGCATTTGCATTTATGCTTATTAATGTGCATTGTCCCTGCTAAATTAAACTGTTTATTAATAATAACATCAGCTACATAAATTCATCAACTAACCATTCTGAAATGTCCTGTTTCTTCTTGAGTCTCTCCATCTTTGTATAATGAACATATAATGCTAAACGTTTTTGAAATATTCAGTGCGTGTCTGTGTGAGGTAATCGGAGCTGCTAAAACACATGAGCTCTTGAAGCATTTAATGAATCTCATTTGCATTTAAAGGGACACACACAAAAACGGCGCGTTTTTGCTCACCTTTAAAAAGCCACAATTTTAACATGCTATAAAAAATATCTGTGGGGTATATACACACTCTGGGGGCATCAGAGACTTATTTTACATCTTGTCAAAAGGGCATTATAGGACCCCTTTAACAGCCCTAAGTAGCATGAAAAGAAAAGAAGCTATTGCAAAGAAAGACAAAGACCTAAAGGCATCCAAGGTCAGGGTGTCTTTACATTAGGAGTCAGATATGACGAGTCAGACTATGAGGAAGCCTTTTAGAAGCCATTACTCCCGCATTATGCAATTTCCTGATTGTGAGCCATGCAACAAACAACATAAATTGAATTGAGAGAACGGCTGTTCGCAAATCCATTCAAATCAATGATGGCAAGCTAAAACAACGACGCAAACCAATGATTGTACCTTAATAGGAACAACAGCTGTCTGCACCATGTTTCTGAAGCGTCCTACAGATGGGTCCACATCCTCTGTGGAAAGAGAAGAGCTTTTTAACAAAAGTCCCAACATGAACAAAGAATGAGAAAAGAGAGCATATAAAGACTAAGTCATTCCAAAAACAAAATTGAGATTAAAGTCAAAACATTACGAGAATAAAGTCGTAATATTTTGAGAATAAAGTCGAAATTACGAGTCTCCCATAGAAGTTTTCAACAAAAGGAAATTCTACAGGTGCTAATCTACCAACATGGCATTACCATTTGCCTTAGGATTTTACTAAATATACTGCGCCGTAATAGACTTTACAGGCAAAAAAAAAAAAAAACCTTTTCAGACTGGATGTGGCCAGCTTTATATCTGAGGAAATCACGGGATCCGGCCAAATGATTGGATACAAAATGATTCACTCAAAATGTATCCAGAAAGGATTTACAGTGAAGAGGGAGACAGTACGGTTACTGTTAAGTATTCTCGACCCAGGTGGCGTTGCCTATAGACGAGCATGAAGACTCCGCCGGACGAGGTACCAAATCCCGTGATTTCCTCAGATATAAAGCTGGCTCCCTCCATCCAGTCTGAAAAGTGTTTTCGCCTGTAAAGTCTATTCCGGCGCAGTATATTTAGTAAAAACCTAAGACAAATGGTAATGCCATGTTGGTCAAGTCACCTTCATTTATATAGAGCTGTTAACAATAAAGATTGTTTCAGGGTTTTTTGAGGTAGATTAGCAGCACCTGTAGAATTCCCTTTTGTTGAAAGCCCAGATAAAAGTAAAAAGCTACTATTTTGTTTAGATCCATGCCCGAGGCAGTTCGAATTCACAAGCGCATTTCTTTACTAAAAAAAAGAAAGAAAAAAAAACCTTCTACGAAAGACTGTATTCTCGTAATTTTGACTTTATTCTCAAAATATTACGACTTTATTCTCGTAATGTTTCGACTTTGATCTCAAAATATTTTGACTTTATTCTCGAAATGCTATTTGTATTCCTGTCATTTTAGAATCCCCCCCCCCCCCCCCCCACGATGTGGTTCAAGTCTTCCCTAGTGATGGACAGTAATTACTGTAGCAGTGTACGGGTCAATCTGTTTATCATATAAACAAATCTTGTCTCTTCAGAAAATTTGGACTAACCCGCTCAGTTCATATGGATGAGTTTTATGATCTCTTTATAAACTTTTTGAAGCATCAAAGTGGTAGTTGCGTAGACTGTCAATGGAGGTACAGAATTCTCTCAGATTTTATAAAAAAAATCTTAATTTGTGTTCCGATGATGTACTGGAGTCTTTCAGGTTTGGAACGACATTGAGTGTGAGTAAATAATGTCATTTTTTTTGGGTGAACTAACCCTTTAAATCGGTTTGCTAATCTTGTTTGTGAACATTTGTGAATTGGACCAATCTGATTGCATCTGTTCTTGAGCCAACAACTCAAATGATCAGGTCGGAGTGAGTCTCCAGTTAACAATTCATTGAATTCACATCAGACTAAAAATGAATAACCCTATATAGTAATAAAATAATGATCCAATTCTTTTCTAAAATTATAAATGTCTTTAATGTCACTTCTTATTGAATAAAAGTATTAATTCTTTTCCTAAATCTTACTGAGCCCAAACTTTTGAACAGCAATCTACATTTATATTTACATTCTATGAGAAGTTGCATGTGTACCTGGGTTTATGATCTCCTCTTCTTCACTAAAAGACACTCTTGAGCTTCTCCTTTTCCTCTTGGGTCTCTGGATCTCCAGGTTTCCTTCCTCGATGGTGAGTGTAGAAATGCGTTTGTTATGAGCCGTGTTGAATTCAGTCAGGTTCTGGGGGGGAAAAACATTCAGAAAACTAGGAATTAACCAAATGAAACTCCAGTGACACTTCTATATTTTGCATCAAGCGTGTTACAAGTAAGCACATTTAACATGCAATGACAATATCTGATTAAACTGACACACTGTTTGATTTTCATTTGCATGAATGTATCTGCAACATCAGTATAGACATGTTGTACTTTGAATTTACAATTCATACATTAGACCTGCATGATTCTGAATACACTGAGAATAACAATTTTCTTTTTAAATAGAAATCACGATTCTGAATAGACAACTAAACAAAACATTATATTTAAAATACTTTCCCCGCTATTGACGGAATTTTCCATCTTTCTGTGTTTTCACTGTCATCTGGTAGGGGGTGCTATTACACATCTTCAGAAAGAGTACCGGATCTCATGATCAAAACACGTGCGAGGAAGATGCAGAAACAAGCGATATCATATGTAATTATATGCATATGTAAAATAACGCATAAATCAACATTAAACAGCATATAAATCAAAGACGAGCTACAGGATTGTGCAAGCATTAGGGGTGTTGATGGATTCGATCTATGTTTTGTTCATCATTCTGAATATGATCCAGATATATTCTTTGACAAAAAAAGTGATTTTCGCAGTTTTTGTTCAAAATGTTGCTTTTATTTAGGAATCTTACCCACATTCAAGTGTTGATAAAAAAAAGAATGCATGAAGTTAGAATAAAACTTTTTTTTATTTTTCGTTTAAGAGCAGAAAGTCTGTTCTTTCTTTTGTCTGTTCAGATATTCATACAACAAAATATTATTGGCCTGAGGGTTTTGAAATTTTGGTGAAAATGGTTAAAATGCTGGCAACTTTTTTTTTTAATCGAATGACAAATACATTTTTTTAACAGTCACTTTTCGCCACCTACTGGTGTATCAATATAATTAGCGTCAAGTTACTTTGAAAAGGTGATTTTCTTTATTTTGATCGCTACCATAGACATCAGTGTTTATATACAAACTATAAACTTTATTCTAGTATTTCTGCAATAATATCAATTATTGTAAAAGACAGAAATAACAATACTGTGTTTTGAAGCCGTTTCATATCTATACATGATGACATCTGCTCTCTCTGGCCCAGCGGCAGAACCAACGCAGATCTGAACGTTCTCTGTGATCGTACTTGTCAAAGGTTTAATAGACAAATCATTGACATTTAGGAATAAGATCGCATGGGTGTTTGAATCGAGATTGCAATCCTTTAATGATTAAATGTGCAGCTCTAACATACATATACAAATATATAAGAGTCGAAGATTCCCACACACTTGATAAATTAATTTGGGATTACGCATTTTAACAAGAACGCACTCCATATTCATTGACTATTAAAATTGTAATTATAATGGAAATAACATTTTCAAAAGTTCTTGAAACCCTGAAAGTGACATAAGATGTTTCAACCACAGTGAACAGCACACTTTTCACTAGATGATTTGACTGTGAAAAGAATGAATCATACTAGAATGATTGGGGTGAAACGCAGGCCATATATTTAATACCTGCAAACTCTGGAAAGGCAACAAAGGTAACATTTTTCTTCAAAAAAATTGCTTAGAATCAGCAATTTTGGAAAATCCATCCTTCGGATGAGACGTTAAACCGAGGTCCTGACTCCCTGTGGTCATTAAAAATCCCATGGCACTTCTCATAAAGAGTAGGGGTGTAAATTCCCTCCACTGGCCCTTGCCAATCATGGCCTCCTAATAATCCCCATCCACTGAATTGGCTCTATCACTCTCTCTCCACCTATAGCTGGTGTGTGGTGAGCGCACTGGCGCCGTTGTACTGTGGCTGCCGTCGCATCATCCATGCGGATGCTGCACACTGGTGGTGGTTGAGGAGAGACCACATGATTGGATGTACAGCGCTTTGGGTGTACAGTAGTACATATGAAAGCGCTATATAAATGCTTCATTCATTCATTTAAAATTCTGATATTAGAACTAAATGTTTTTAGGTAGCAACATTGTTTTGAAAACCAGTCTATGGTAACATCCTAAATTTCACCGAAAGTTTGCAGGTGTGATATTTATTTAACTAAATGGCAGCATTTGCGATTTAATAATACTATAGAAGCTTGTTTCCGCCAAGGCATTTAAAAAAAACTAAAAGTAATTGTTACTTTTTATCTCACAATTCTGACTTTTTCTCCGACCTGAGTCGTACATAATCAAGTCAGAAGTTGACCTATGAGATATCAACTCGCGATTCCATGAAATAATGTCAGAATGTTCTTTTTTTCTAGTAATTGTGTTTTTTCTCTCACAATTCTGACATTATTTCTTCCAAATGTGAGGTGATATCTCACAATTCAGACTTTTTTACTGATATGAACTCACAATTCTGTTTTTTCACAATTGCGAGTTTATAACGGAAACAAGCTTCCCCAGCTACCCTGGTGCATTTTCATTTACCTTACATAAAAGTGAACGCTGCATGATAGAAAACAGGATACGGGTCAATATATTGTTTTTTTTTTTAAATCAATTTGCTACTATTAAGTATAGCAGAGTGAATGACACTTGGGTTCAAGGAATGTGCATCGCATGAAAGCGGCTTTCTGCTGCTTGCAAACAGACTCTTTTAATGAGACAGCAGACTATGAGGCATTCATTTGCTGCTCTGATTGCACTCACTATGCACAAATACACTGCACAGTGCACACTCACTCTCGCTCGCATCCAAGGTAAATCATCAGCACTTTTAACAGAAGCATTTTGCTCAGTCATGGGAATACTGGGTAATTGCCGGATGTCGCTAAGGATTGTGGGATTTGTTTGTTTGATTTGTTAGTTTGTTCGATACCTCATGCATTTAATGGGCTCATTGGGCTGACCTGCATAGGTTACTATTTACATTGTTTTTAGGGGCCCAAGGACCGAAGGTACTGATAATCTCCTCCTCCTTCCTGTATTCTGCCAATAGGGGGTGCTATAATAAGGCAATTTACATTTTGGATCAAAACTTTTGAACCATATGGGTTAGAAACAAATTTATATTTTAATTATTCCTCGAGTCATGTCTTCCGCCTATTTCCGTCGTCATCGGCTAAAATCCATGTGCAGGTTACTTTACTTCCTTAAAGGTCCCGTTCTTCGCGATTCCATTTTTCAAACTTTAATTAGTGTGTAATGTTGCTGTTAGAGCATAAATAATACCTGTAAAATTATAAAGCTCAAAGTTCAATGCCTAGCGAGATATTTTATTTAACAGAAGTCCCCTTTCAAAGCATACAGCAAACGGCCGGTTTGGACTACATCCCTCTACTTCCTTTTTTAATGACGTAACTAGAACAGTTTTTTGACCCATCTCCGCCCGCAGGTATACACAAAAAAAGGGGGCGTGGTCTTGTTGCGCTCCCACGGAGAAGCACTTCAGCTGCGCATGCATCTCCAATTTATGGTAAGAGGCGTGACCTTTCCGGGCAACGTGCGATAAGCTGCTGTCGAATCACAACACAGGAACCGCTGGCACAATCAGAACTCGTTACGTATTTCTGAAGGAGGGACTTCATAGAACAAGCAAGTCATCAGGCCGTTTTTTGGACAGTGAAAACAGCGGTATACAGATAAGTAAATTGTGTGAAAAATACTATGTTTTTTTACACGCGAAACATGAACATGTTATATTGCACACTGTAAACACAATCAAAGCTTCAAAAAAACATGAAGAATGGGACCTTTAACAAGTATGCGCCTGAGTTCGAGTTGCATTCACATTCATGCGAACCGGGCCACAGTTCCACTGCAACCGAACACAGACCACCTCCTACAGGTGGTTTCGGATTCGGTACCCCGGTGCGCTCCTGGTGTGAGTTTTACCCGTTTTTCATGCCCCGTTTCAAACTAAAGTGCCAGTGTGAAAGCACCCAAAAAGTAATTAATAACAGTCTGACCACTAAAGAGCATCATTTACCATGATGTCAGCTGTATGTGACTCATTCACACAGACACACACACCTCCAGCTCTGTCTCTTCCTCTGGCAGTCCCAGCAATCCCTTCAGCTCCTCATCCTCCACTCCTTTACTGTCTCCTGCAGCCGAGCTGCTCTGTGTCTGAGGCTTCTCTCTCAGCGTGTACACTCGTGTGGACGCCCCAAACGACATGGTCGAGTCGATGGGCACCTGCTGAGGTTTGTTGGGCTCAAGGCGAATTCTGCCCAGAAATGTGCCATGGGCTAAAAAGGATAAATCAAGATAAGATGAAAACTAAACAATTCTGTTGATAGTTTGTTACATTTGTGTCTTCTGCAGAGCTGCACTCACTGCTGTCTAGGTCGATGAGAAAGACCCTCTTAAGGTGTCTGTGGTAGACCAGTGCAGCATGGACACGCGAGCATGACTGGTGGTCTATCGTAAAATCACATTGGTCTGGGTTCCTCCCAAACAGATAGAACTTCTTCTCATCAATAATCAACTTCTGCAGATGACAAGAAGGATGTATAGTCTGGGTTATTAAGACATATAAGAATATGACACCAACAATATTCAAATGAGTTTGACACAAAAGTATTAATACCGTTATTATGGGGTCAACGTTCATTTATCTTCAAATAAAAGTTCAAATTGATAGTACAGCCAATTTCAGAGAGGGCTGATAGTTAACCCAAAAATGTATATAAAAAAAAAATCTGTCATCATTTACTCACCTTCTTGTCATTCCAAACCAGATTTATTTATTTTCTTCTGTGGAACACAAAATAAGATATTTTGAAGCATGTTGGTAACCAAACAGTTTTCTCAAAATGTCTTCTTTTATGTTTCACAGAAGAAAAGTGCGTTATATACAGTTTTGAAGCAACAACATGAAGGAGTAAATGATGACAGAATTTTCATTTTTGGAAGAACTAAACTTTTAAGCAGAAGTTTAACACAATTTTCACCAATGAATTTCCATGACTTTTTTCAAAAGTGTGTGACTACTACACATTTCCATGCTTGTTGGAACCTTGCATATTTTCCAAAACTTACTAAATCAGCAGAATACATATTTATAATGTGGAAACAAGCCCACCACGTCAAAGTTCAAGGGTCACAATAATAATTTCCATACTACTCAGTTAACACAGACTTACCTCTACTAATTTGTCTCCTTTAACCACGTCCAGATGGAGTCCAGGTGGAGGTTTTCCTGCCCTGGGGTTAAATTTAATTTAATAAACAATCAATGGGACAAAATTCATTCATTCTCTAATCTCTTAGAACTTTCATATTAACAGTTTAATTTATATATGCTCTATGCACAAATGCATGAGTGAATTCATTTGTAAGATTGATGTACTATATATCTTAATAAATTATAATATTAAAGTAGAATAAAGGCAGATTAGTCTGCATGCTTGATGCGACCTATGAACTTTATTCAACACTAAACACCAGAATCGCCATTGCATCATTAGATCACATCCCTGTATTTATATACCATAAATAAGACATAAAAGAGAGTTCAAATATTTTAATAGGCTATATTTTAATGCATTCATGCTGAGTGGTTTGATATGCTGCTGTGTATTGAGTTACTGTCCGCGCCTGTTTGATCATAGTGAGTTGCATTGTTTTTATTTATGCAGTCATAATTTACTCATCCGCTCCACAAACATGCATGCATGCATGTTTTTATGTTAATTGCAATAATTATGTAATTTAGTTTCTCATCTCACCATGACGGGCAGTCAAAGGCAGCTGTGTTTATGCTTGCATTCACCGCCATTTTGCACAGTCGCGGGGAATACTGGGTAATGACCGGCTGTCGCTAAGGATTGTGGGATTTGTAGTTCGTTCGATACCTCATGCAGTTAATGGGCTCATTGTGCTGACCTGCATAGGTTACCGATCGATTCCATCGTTTTTAGGGGCCCAAGCACCGAAGGTACTGATAATCGTCTTCTCCTTCCTGTATTCTGTCAGTAGGTGGCGCTATAATACGCATTTTACATTTTGGATCATAACTTTGGAACCATAAGGGCTAGAAACAAAATTTTTACAGCTAGAATCCTTGAGCCATACCTCCTATTTTATTTCTGCCAACAAAATGTTCACGCCATTTTGAATGTTCCTAAAAACCAGTTCAACAGTTCAAACTCCTCCATGGTTGTTGCTGGTCCGATCTTCACCAAAATAGGCACACAGCAGCTGCAGCTTGGGACGGTGCAGGCAAAAAGTTATCAAAAAATATTTTGATTTGTTGAAGCATTGCAAAGTTATTTAATTGCCCAGGCAGTGCCCATTTTTACGAGCTGACCTAAAACTGCTGAATGCAATTGTCCAAGCTTAATTAAACTTTATACACTAGTATTTCTCTACACTATATAAACTCCACATTTCACAGACAAGGTTTAAGACTATAGTCCCTGACTAAAATGCATGTTTGAGCTGTTTTAACTGAAATAAACTTGCACTGACATATCTTAAAATATGTCAGTGCCTTTTTTTTTGTCTCAAGATGCACACCAGTATCTTTAAAAGCTACCTAAATGCCCTAATTGATCTAAGGCCTAATCCTGGCTTAATCTAAGGCCTGTCTGTGAAACTCTGTCTATGGTGAAACTGGGCCAAAGACACTAAAAAAACGGATACTAAAAAAAACATGTCCGCCAGCAGCCAATCAAAGCAGCTAATAACATCATATGAAAGGGCCTTCACATTTGCCTAAATAGAACTTTGTTGTTGCTGTTGTTATTGAACAACAAACAAGCAAGCCCAGTCCAGGTGAGAAAAAGTAATGAAAAAGTAACTTAATGCATTCTTTCCATAAAAGTAACCAAAGCAATATTGTAATCGCTACTTTTAAAAGTAACTTTCCCCAACACTGTACACCCCACATATTATGATCAAACCCTAAAATTCAGTAAAGATTCAAGATAGACTTTGCAATAAAAACCACACTATCAGATACATTTCAGTTGGATTGATAAACATCCACATGGGCCGTTAGTGCTTGGACCCTGATGGTTGCTGCTTATTTTATATTTTAAATATATTGTTCTGTACGTATTTTTAAATATTTGTAATCTTCCTTCTGGAAATCTTAAATTGACTTTTTTTGTAATTACGGTTTTGTGCTGAAATTAAATGCATCCTGCTCCCTCATTGTGTATTAGACTAACAACAAAAAACTACTTTCATGTTGTTGTTTTTAAACATGTTAATACAGATATAATTTTTATATTTATGACAATATAATACTTTATCTGTAAGAAATAAGAACAGGTTTTGGTAACGAGACTTTCAAGTCAATAATAAAAATGCCCATAAAACAGCCATTTCAGTCTTGATATAATACTAATAACAGTCTATTCAGTTTTGTAAAAACTGATAAAGATGTGACATCTTGCTTTGATCTTCCAAACTCATCATTGAATGCATAAATAATTGGCTTTTCATTCCTATGATCTAATTTCAGTTATATTTCAGACATTTTTTGGCATGTTCTTTGCCTCTGTAAAAGACTGAAGGGCAAATACTTTCATAGCACTCAACATTTATACATAACAAAATGAGACTTCACAAAATGTATGCAATAAGCTTTTTGTGGCTTAGTGGTAATTCTTTTTTTTTCTTTTTTTTACATTTACAGTGAAAATAATCTTTCCAGGAACACAACATATTGTAAAATGTACTGTAAAAAAGTTGCTGCCTTAAATTTTTAGGTACAATTAATTTGGATGTTTAAGTAATTTCAACTTAAAGCTGCAGTCCGGCGTTTTTCCTCTTTGTCGCCATCTCTGTTCGAAATCTGCAATTGCAGTCATTCGTGGAATAATCAACTTTACGTGAGTTGTGCTTCAACACCCTCGACCTTTTTTTTACAGTCTATGCCCTCGACACGGCACAGCGCGGATGAACACAATGTTTGAGGAGTGTGAGCCTGTCAGTCGCCGCGCTGGTGTGGATACTGTCATTCAGAATCACAGATTATTCTTTTTGGAAGTATGACCAACATAATAATTTTCACCAGAAAATGTAATATGAACTAGTAAGAAACATCCACCTTTGTTCTGGTTCTGACATTGCAGTAAATCGCGCTGATTAAATCTAACAATCGCTTATAAGTTATCATATCACGCAAAACCGTGCAAATTATACTTTGTTCTCAAATTGTTAATGTTAACAACGTCAGCATTGCGTGACTACATGTAATGTCCTTCCGATATGAATCCTTGTTTTCGCATGGGTCCGGTTGCAGTCTCTTTTTTTCTGTAGCCACTCCGAAGTCCGAACGAAGTCTTTTGCAATTTACAACGGGTGAATCTGTTGTCACTGGTGATTGTCGTTTGAACCTTTCTGGATCCGCCATCAAATTGATAAGTTTAATTATATCAAGTGCTGTGAGAAAAGGCTATAAATCTCCACCTCCAACATCCTCACACACAATATAGCCTAGTAACCGAGACTCCTTCTTTATGTCTACAGATGTGACGTAATGATGCAAAGACATGCTCGAATCTCCCGCAGAAATCCACCAGTACCACTGGAGTTAAAAACATTATTACAAGCTTACCGCTTTGAATCGAGCTAAGGCAAGCAGAGAGTTTTGAACACTGGCTGGTTATGTATTTTCTCAAATATGTATTTTGGATCATTTTTAACCCAAAAAAAGCTACGGACTGCAGCTTTAAATACTGTAAACTGACTTAAAAATTAGATGAATCTTGTATAACTTATAAAAAAATAGAAATTGCTTAACTTATTTTGATGAGTTCATTGTAAATATAAATTGTATAAATTGTAAATATGTCTATGTAACAGAAGTTAAATATATTTTATAGTAAACTGAGAAAAATGTTGCCACTTTGTCTCAAATTCGGTCACTATTAAAGTCCCCCTGTGGTGAAAATCATTCTTTTAATGCTGTTCATGTCTATGTGGTGTTTTTAATATGCTTTAAGACAAACCGTGCAAATTCATAATTCAACAGCATTGCTGAGTATTTTCTCCTTAAAACTGCAGTGAACCAGACAGTCTCAAAATTGCGGTTTGAAATTGCTGGTGTTTCTGACATCACAAACTACCTTGTAACCAATCACGTCAACTTGTGATCGTCAACAATTGGATCTCTGAGCTGGTGTGAGTGGAGGCGGGGCTAATTTGCATATTCATAGAACGGCGTATACTAAATGAGGCAAGGGTGTTCAAGCTATTTTAAGGCATGAAGAATTTTGTTCAAGGAAACAACTTTTAAATATGTCATTTTGGTGATCAAAGGTGAGTTTTAATGGATAAAATTATTGACTACAGGGGGACTTTAACTATTAAATACGACTTTTTACCTCAAACTCTTAATTACTGCTTATCAATATTTGCAGTAGGGTTAGTTCACCCAAAAATGAAAATTATGTCATTAATGACTCACCCTCATGTCGTTCCAAGCCCGTAAGACCTCCGTTCATCTTCGGAACACAGTTTAAGATATTTTAGATAAGACAATAAGAGAAGACAATAAGCAACTAGTGAGAATTGACCCTAAACTAAAGTGTTACCGGAAATTCTTTCCCGTAATAAGATTTATATAAAAAAAAAATATATTAATATTATGTTAATATTTTCTGCTATCTGTGATATTGTATGTCAAAGACTCTATAACGGTAAAAATATTCAGTTGTTAGAACATGATGCATACCATAGTTTTTATGGCTCTATAAAGTAACTAATTTCTGTGAGTACTCGCTGGCAAGAAGCTAATGACCTTCCACTTTATAAACAGGTCATTAAAATGTAATCTTGGCCAACACATAGACTTTCTCTGCATTTCTCAATAAATAAATACTTCAATAAAACATGATTCAAGTAAAAGTTTTATTAATAAAGCCAACCCCAACAATAAATTACACATTCACTTAGAAGATCCCCTCTCATGAAATTCTGTTTATCTCAAAATACTTTACAAGAACACAAAGTGTCTGTGAAAAAAAAATAAAGAAAAGAAATAAAAGCACTTTTCAAGTCACAGTGCAACACCACCATGTTCCCAGTAGTTGTTCGTAAATCAGGTCAGGCTGTCGGAGGCTTGGGGGGGAATCTGTGAGCAGGGCACTGTGGGAAATAGTTCATAGTGCTTGTTTGAAACAAGATTATTTTTTTTTTTTTTTACAAAATTTAAATACAGTTGTGCTCCCGGTTTTAACACACAAGACGTTCACCCTTCATATATCAGTATATCAGATCATATCAGTAGACACACTGAAACAGCACAGAAAACCAGAAACATAGAGAAGGGCATGAAATCATGTCAGCACGCCACTTGTAACTACCAATGATGGACACAGCCCAGCCCACAATATAAACTCACCAATCATTCAATCACATAAAACCATCAGGAAGTTATCTGTGCATTTCAGGCTAAGACGTTCATGTACACTGTACAGTATGTACAGAAGAGAGAAAAAAAAAACTTAAGTGAAAATTATTGTGGGTCATATTTTATTAGTCAAGAAGGAAAAACTCATGTCAGGTTAAAGTAACATCTATAAAACACATCTGGGGTGCTTGTCTTCAAGTCTGTTCACGCCGCAGGATAAAACACCCAAACTCAATTTTCTGATCCAATCAGGCTGTTGCCACAATTTTTTAAAATGTGTCCCATATCAGACGCTAATCTTAAATTGACCTGTGTGTGGAAAACAGGCATTTTGATTATAACATCATATTCTTTTATTTAATGAAATTCCACTACTGCTCAAAAGTTGGGGTCTGTAAGATTTTTTTAAATTCCTTTAT